TTTGCATAAATATAATCATAATGGGTACATTTTCATCATAACCAATTTCAAAGAGATAGCCTTTCCATTTTACAGTTACTGATTTTACAGCAGTAGAAAAAACGTAGACTGTAGCAATTACAGTTTTCATAAACCTATTTGCAGTTATATTTTAAAAGAAGAATGCTTGTCATTAAATTCTTCTTGCACTACATGATAACTCCCTATGCTTTCATAAGTAATAAAAATATCTTTAAATACATCAGCATATGCTTAGCTCATAATAAATATATTAATCAACGTATCTTTTTTGCGGTAACCTATTTTTCCCTTCCACCATGTTTCTATTTAGTTAATGTAACTTTCCAATTTTTGAAAAGGCAGAAATATTTCAGCACAGGTCAAGACATCAAATATCTCTTGCAAAAGAGTAAATGTATTTTTAAACTCTTACCCAGTCTTAGTGAGACAAATGTAATCTGCTCTGCAACAACTCCATTAATCTGGGATTACATCTGAGTAAATAGGATGTCCACTGATCCTTTCAAGAAAATGTCCCAGGAAAAAGTGTGAGCTGTAATCACAGAAGGTGCTCCAGAGCACCATGCACCATGGGCTGAAATACAGAAGAGGACAAAAGGAATGACAATTTGTTAACAGAGCTTCCAAATTACTTTGTCGATATTATTTATACACTTTAAACTACATTAACAACAGCCTTACTCTTATCTTTTAACTCTAAAATCAAAGACAGGCTAGTCTAGTTATCAAGAGCATGGGCTCTGGGTCAAATGACCAAGCTTAACATCACTGCTCAGCCAAAGAGCACGGCTTGCTCTTCAGATAAGCTGTGTAGGCCTTCTGCAGAGCACTGTAAAAAGAATAAGTAATACAAGTGAAGTATTTTTAGCAGTGCTCAGTAAAGACTAGTTATTTTAATCCTTTCCTCATTTTTTTCTGTTCTTGGTTAAAACTTAGGAAGGTAGACAGAGAGAATGTTCATTTATTGAGCATGGAATATAAAGCACTAGGTTGGTGCTTTATAGAAATTGTCTCACTTAATCCTCAAATAAGACTATTATTTTTGTTTTACAAAGAAGGAAAATGAGATTCAGGGAGTTAGTAATTCGCCAAAGTTAGACAAGAAGAAAGCAATAGAGTTGGGACTTAAATTATGTCGATCCGCTTTTCAGAGTCCTTGCTACTTCTGAACACTTTCATATTTGAGGGGTGATCTAGCATTACTTTTTGACACTGTCCATAGCAGAACAGCAAAATATATTAAATATAACTCTTCAATATGAATTGCTATAAGATTTATTTTTTTTATATAAACTTGACATATTTACTTACACTAAGTTTTAGGAGACAGAATGAGACCGAAATTAGCCAGTAAAAGTCAGCATATGAAACAAATTAAAACGATACTCAAAGAAATTTTTCTATCTCCCTCTACATCATGAAAAATTATAATGACATTTACCACCATAAAGATATAACTAACAAAAAAGGCAATCTTTTTCAAATTGTTTATAGTCAAATTTACAGATTAAAACTGTACTAAAGTTAATTTGATAAAAAATTACTTTTTCATTGTGAAATTATTATCTTTATTAAAAACCTGCAAACAGTATAAAACAAATGAAAATATTAATCGTAATTCCACCACATCATCAGTCACTGTTAATAATATGGTATATTTTCTTCTAGTTTATTTTTCTATAGTTACGTATTTTTTTCTAGATATATTACACGATTCTTTGTCCTGCTTACAATATAACATAAACGGTTCAAGGTTTAACAGTTTGTAAACATTTTCTTTATTAAATAATGCAATAACATACATTTTACATAAAATTTTCACTTTTAATATTTTTATTATTATGGAATATAGATCTACAATTTCTATACAAAACTCCATAAATAT